GTATATACAATAAGTATATCTGACCCGCCTGCCCTATTTTCTCAGTGCATTTAGAGGTCTGATGGTTAATGGCTGTGAAGCATAGGAGGTTAATTCTTTGCCTTCCCTGCCCACACAGAATGCAACGCTGACATTTGGTTTTCTGAGAGCGTGTCCTTTCTCTAGCCCTGCTGCAGTCTCGTCTGCTCTATTTCCCAGACTGTAGCCTTGTGAGCTGCTGTAGTGTCTGTCAGCATAAGTCATGCTGACAGACCAAGGCTCTGATAGCCCATCTTAATAACACAAATTGAAGAGAAACATGAGAAACCCAGAAAAAATTCACAGATCCCATTGCCTGAGTGGAGGAGAGCCACTCCTCTCAAGGCTGCCCTCTGCAAATGAATTTTTCAGATCAGCTGTTCAGCTGTTTTTTTCAAGTTTTTTGGTAGTTTCAACTAAGCTTCCAGCTGTATTTTTAAAACGAAAATAAAGTATGTGGCTGAATTCTGCACACTGACAAAACTGAATGACCTTGCTGAGTTGGGAGGGTGGAAGAGGAGCTCAGCATGTGAACACCAGGCTGAAGTGCCTTTCCCCTTGCCATTGAAATAGTCCCAGTTAAGTGCAGCCCCAAGCTGACATTTGCAAGCCAGGAGTGCTGCTGATTCTTCTTTTTGACCAGCTTGCTGGTCCTAAACCTTCCTGTTTCCCACCATTTGTAATTACCTCTGCTTCAGGCTGCATTTGTCTGAGGATTTGTGAATGGCTGGTGAGTTCTTATTCACCAGCTGGGTTAATACAGGGAGAGGATGTTTGCATTTCTTGCTTGTGGTAAAAAAATGCAGTCTGATTAAATAAGCAAAAAAAAGGGCAAAAATATACAGCCCGGTTATATGGGCTGTATTTATATCTATAGTAGAAGTTAATATGTATATTATATGTATTATACATGTTATATATACATAATGTATAATATTTTATATAAGGTATATATTTTCTCTAATGTATAGGATTATATATAATGTAATGTACCATATTATGTATATAATACAAATATATAATGTAGATAATAAATATTTTATATAATATATAACATACGTCTTATATACATTTCTATATAATATATAGAAATATGTATTATCTATTTTATATATGTGTAAATATATTTAATATATAATCTACATGTGTAAATCTGCATATTTAATATCTAATATATATATGTGTATATAGAAATATAAAATCAAGTGCAAGCCTGTTATATGTAATATATTTTATATATTTTGTATATTATATAAATATATAATGTAGATAACATATATTAAATTTACATTATTTATTTTTATATTAAATATTTGTAATATATATGTTATATATTTTATGTGTATATATAATATAAATTTAAAAAGGAAGCACAAGCCTGTTTTAAGCTGGGAAGAATGATTTATTTAGGCTGGGAATAACAGCTGAGCACTGCCAAGAGCGCAGCGATGCTAATTACGTTGATGCTTTATTAATGGCTTCAAGGGTGAGGAGTGCGTGTTTCCTTGCCTGCCTGTGAAGTCAGGCTGTGCTTGGCACACCCAAAGCCATGGGGATTAAGTGGTCATTTCCTTGGGAGGACTCTGCTGCACTCTGTGTTCCCCCCCTGACATCTGGGGGGCTCCAAGTGCAGCTGCCACACCCCCCTAAGATCAAGGCCAGGCTGTGTGCATCAGGAATGACAGAGAGCATTAATTTACCCCCAGCTGAAAAACCTCCCTGCAGTTTAACCATTCGTCTGGGGTTCATTAATGGCAGCACCCAGAATCCTGCATCAAGTGGCCCTTGCTCCAGCGCTGTGCATTGCCTCTGTGCTGTTGGCCTTCACCACGGGGTACAAATTCAAGTTTTCCAAGCTCATGCAAGAAAACAGTTTTGCCTAAATGGAAGTAAATCAGGCCATCTCAATTTTTACCAGTTCTAACACAAGATTTAGGCTGGTGGCTGAAGTCTGGCATATTCCAAGGTCTTTTTGCAGAGTGTGACATTAAAAATAGAATTAATATGCAGCTTTGAAAAACTTGTCTGTTGGCAGAGTGGCTCTCTTTGTGTTGGAAAATATTTTACCTATTGATTTCAATGAAAAGTGTTAGGCCCATGGTGGCAGTTCTTCAAAATCTAATTCTGACTATATTAGAAACATTTCTAAAAGCTTATCCACCAATTTTCTTTTTCAAGTAGCATGTCACAATGAGACTTTCACCTTTTGGCAGAGTTCTATTTATTAATCTTGACAGATGTAGACAACAGGCACAAAAATCACCTCCTAAATATTTTTCTTAAATAATAATAAGCAGATTTGGATGTCAGACTGTACTGGTATTCATGGCTCGTGTGTACCTTCACTGAAGCTCTGCAGAAACACTGATGTAAAAGTAAGTTTAATGAAATTCTTGGGCATTCCATGGAAACTGACCATTTAAAAAGGTAAAGTCTGTCTTCCAAACTATCAAATGTAGACTAAGATATCTTCAAGTCTGACCAGCCTTCTTTAAGAGGTCATTAATGGTTTTGTTTGCAAAAGGAAAATGTGTGGTGCCTTTGTCTGATGGATGAAATGGGACCAGTAGGATTTTTGTTGCATGCAATCTAATTTGTGACAGATGTGGACACAGCTCTGGACAGGTTCTAATGTCTATAATCTAAATAAGAATAATGACAATCATTAATATCTTATCTACACTACTCTTATATTGCAACTATGTAATATTTCATTATGATATTACTGGATCAGGCTAAAATGTTGTCTTATTTGATGTGATTTGGCCATATAATGCATATATGACTCTGGTGGCTGTACAAGTTACATGGGAAAAATTATGAGAGGAAGAAAAAAACATGCAATTTAAAGCATAATGAAGTTGGCAGGTAGACTCAAGTTTTAAAATTGGCTTATTAAGTCTCGCAACAGAAGTGGAATAAAATTATTTTTATTCTTTGAAAATACACAAGAGACAATACAGATCTATTTTGGAAACATACTTTTTACATACTTTTTCTTACTGCATGCTACTTTTTTTGCAGTTGTAATTCAAAATTCTCACATTTAGAATGGAATAATTGCTGATATTAACATGCTTATTTGAGTGAGACTTAATGTGATTTATCCATTACTTTACCACTTTTAAGGCTTCACTAGACCAAAAAAAAAAATCATGCATATAAATCTTATAAATAAAAACAAGAGAATTAATACCTTTTAGTAAAAAAAAGCTAAAAACTACATGAGGTAAAATATCTATTATCTATTACAAGGCAGATTCAGCGTGACAGGCAAATCCTCTTTGAATAAACCCGTCTGCAAGGGTCTCAAAAGCAGACCTGCCAGGTAACTCCTCCTTCCTTGCCCTGCCTGGTGCTGAGTTAGCTTTGCCTGCCATTCCTAGCAGGTTCCAGGTGTTCTGGGAGACCTGTGATGCCCACTGACTTCCAGACCCCACAGCCTTCCTTCATCCATCCCTCCCTCCTCCTGCCAGCCCCTGACAGCTTATTGCAGTGTCTGTGGCTTGCAGAGGATTTGCTGGTGCCCGCTCTGAACCTTTCCTAAGTTGTTCTGCTCTCTTTGGGCACGGAGGGATCACTGCTCTGCTCTGTGTAACACTCTTCAAGCATGTGACATGCTCTGCTGATGTCCCTCCCCTAAGCAAAACAACCACATTTAAATCAATATTTTTCTCCTAGGATTGTTTGTCCTTTTTTAGGCCTCTCTCCATTCTTATTCTGTTTGTGTGGATTTTCTCTGTTTTTTCAGCACTCTGAAGTTCTGTCAGAAATAACCACTCAGCCAAGGCCCTGCCCTGCAGAGCTGAGTGGTGGAGGTAGCTTGTGTCTTGTAGGCTCTGCTCCTTGCACTCCCACTTTTCCTGCACCTCTGGATGCTGTTGACACCACCAAGCCTGCAGTGCCCAGCTGCTGCAGAATCCACTCTGTCCATCCTGTGCCTGTGCAGGGGATTGTTCTGGTGAACATTTTCATTTTCCCCGTAGGATCTCATTCTGTAGGCTTTGTATAATTTTCTCAATAATGTGAGGTAATTTCCCATGCTGATTGTCAGTCCTCCAGCTCACTTCCAGACCACCCCAGCTTCATCCAGAGTTAGGTTGCTGCAGAGTTCTGTGAATTTTCATTCTCTGAAGGGACTCCTGTGAACGGCTCTCAAAGCACATTACCACACCATGTTTGCACTGCTGGGGTCAGGTGCCTCTGGATCCATCCCTAAACTTTTTTTGAGACTCCTGTGTTAAACAACACTCAGCATTTCTCTTTACTACATTCTGCACTCAGGTGAAAATAGAGAGCTGATGATTTCTTCAAGTTAGCCAGGTACAAAGCAGAGTTGATGTTCCTTGTGTTGCTGTGACAGTGAGGCTGAGCTAACAAGCCTTACTGAGAAAGTACAAGAATTCAGGTGGCATTCAAGATTTGAACATAGATTTTTGGCTCTTAAATATGCATTACTGGCAGAGCATGATGACTATGTGAAACACAATGCAAAGAAAAATCAGTCAGGATCTCAGCTGAGGGAGGTTTACAGTCCAGCTAATACAACCACAACCAGAAGCAAGGTTTTGAAAAGTAAGTGTGTTCTTAGGAGAGATGAAAAGCAGGAGATGATAAAGACTTGGAACTTGGGAGCTTCTTGAAAGCACTGAATCACATAGAATAATCTCTGTGAACCAGGCAGTGGAAATACAGCAATATAAATAACTAAGTTTTCCTAAAGAGGAAGAGGGCGGAAAGGCAGAAGAAATTTGAAGCAGCATTTTTTATAAACCTATGAAAATGATTTTAAGGCAGCTGACAGGTTAAGTAAGGAAGGCATGAAGAGGAGTTTAGTCAGTAGCTCTTGATTTGGCCTTAAAAATCTTTGTTTCAGTCTTGGCAGTTTCTGAATACCTAGCCTGTTACCTTCCACTGGAACCTGAACAGTACCTTCACCTAGCAGTGAACATTTAAAGCCCAACTGCTGTCCCCAGTGCCCCTCACTGGTTACTTCCATTCTGACTGAAGGAGCAGTAGGATGGCCCCAGTCCCCTGACAGTGCAGTCAGTGGTGTCAGTGTCACAGCTGTCACAGTGGCACTCTGTAGCTACTGGGTACGAGTAAAAGGATTCAGGGTGGTCACCACAGCCAGGAATCTTCACTGTTTCATACACAACCTCCTTGAAGGTACAGGTCTGCTGAGCAGTTGATACTGGAGGATATTTATATACTGGATCCTGAAATTAGAAGGAAATAACAGTTTTAAAATTTGTTATGGGCTAGATTTCAAAATTTTTATAAAATGGGAAAAGCCCACTGAGATCAAAAGCATTTGGGTCTGACTCATCTATTTTCATTTAGATTTTTAAATCTCCTCCTTCGGGATGACTGAAACAGCAAATTTGTGTCATACCAGCACCAGACAATCTTTCAGATCAATTGCTTGATTCTTTAAATTATTTGAAAGAGCAGAAGAGTCTACATAGGAATGGCTGCTTTATTGTATCTGCTTGCAACCACAAGTTGAGCACAAGGCAGAGATCCAGACTGTAATTCTTCTAACTGTGGTCATACACTATGAACTTAATATACACAGCCAGTTAATTACCTGAATTTTTACTATGATATTTCACCCTTCTGTCTGTGCTTCAGATTGGCTGTGCATCTACTCTTGTGTTACTCAGTTAGTCAGCCTGTTTTTCACAAGGCTCACCCTGTCTGTGTCTTCGCTACAGACTGCAGGAATGGGGTATCCATCCATCACTTGAAACATTCAATTCTGGTGCCTGAAAGGTGGAGTCTCACCTTGGTGAAGCAGTACCCTGAGCACCATGTGGCATTCACTGTAATGCAGAATTCACATTCCTCTCTTTCCACCGCAATGGTGATGTTGGTGAGCTGGCAGCTGTTGCAGCAAATTGCTTTCCAGCAAAGCAGCAGCACACAGCAGTAAAGCGTCTTCATCCTCTCTGTGAAGCAAAAAGTATAACTCAGCTGGAGAAACATGCCTGGTTATTTGCAACAGGAAATAGCTAGAGAAGCAGAGAGAAACTGAGCCTCTGCTTTATCCTCAAGTGGGTCTGTAACAGCAAGAGTTCAGAATCATTAGTGAGAACAGAGACATGAGATAGAGCTTCCTTATATTTACTGCTTAAGGAGTTTGGTTTTCCTAAGCAATGGAAATGGCATGACAGCAATCTCTGCAGAGTGGTAATAATAACAGAATACCATACCACTGCCAGTGAAATATTTTGATCTAAGTTTGTGGAGAGAGAATGTATCCTGTCTGTACGGACAAAGGGAAAAGAAAAAGGCAAGAGAGAAAAATACATTACACTTTGCTCTTTCAGAAACAATTAATTACTTTAAGAGTTTGCAATGTGAAAAAGAGATTTCTTCATCAGGATCTGATGAAGACTTACCTGTATTCTAGTTGCCTTTCTAGAAGTACCAGCTGTAGTGAGAAGAAAGCTCCGTGCTTTCCTTTTATACTGAATTTGGTGTAATTAATACCTTGAGGATTTGCAGTGTCTTAATGCAGCAAGCATTAGTTTGGGACTTGGTGAAAGAGGATTAGTGTTCAGCCAGACAGTGAGATTAAGCCTTGTTCAGAGGAAAAAAGAAAAGCCAAACACACTCAGGAAGAGATGGTGAAGGTTACTGTGACAGTGTCTCTCCCCACGCCACTGGATTTGATTCAGTGGCATTTAGAAATAGCTGAGCCATTTCACAGTTTGAAAAAAGGTTGAGAAGCCTGTTTTTGGAAATGAAATGTTCAGGTGTTTAAACTGCCCTGTCAGCCCTCAAAGTGATGGCTTGGGGTGGAAGCTGGTCCTCTGGCAGTGGAGGAACCCTTACAGTGCTCTAGTGTTTCTTAGCTAATGATTGTTTTCTTGTTTTTTTCAAGAAAATTTTCAATTTTAGTTGGTTGTCTCTGAGTTAGGTCTTGCCCAGTGAGCAGCATATGTATTTATTCATTGATCCAATAAAGCTAGTAATGTGAATTTTGTTAAACCATGAAGAGCTCCTCTTTTCTTTGCCATTCTTTTCTAGCCCAGTGTATGCAGCCCTGGTTCCTGTCATGATCACATTTTTTAACTTATGTGAGGGATATCTGTGTTGTGGAAAGGGGCTGTTAGGATGTCATAATGAGGCTCCAGATTTGTGTTTTTATGTCTGTGATCTCAGATGAAATGTTTTCATGTTCCAGGGAAAATCCTAATTTTTTTAACTGACAACCATGCAAACTCAACTTGAATGTATTCCCTGGTTTTCCATGGGACTAAGAGAGTCTGGGGATGGTGTTTGGGCATTTCCTGCATTCACAAGTTAGGGATGTGTGCCTCTTCACCAGAATAACAACAGAGGAAGATCCCTGAGCTCCACATACCAGTTTTGGGGAGGATGACTCACAGCAGCACAGTGTTTACTATTACCTGCTCAGAACAGCCAGCCTTGCTTTGTTATGACTGTTCTGTTATGGTCAGTCTGACTTTTACAGAAATCCATCCCTGAAAGAAAACTAGACAAGGACATATAGTTTAAAAGCATTTTATCATGAAAATCAATTCTCACTGGCCTATTAGGTTCCTGCAGATGGGGTGTTTTTCCAAGTGGCTTTTACAAATGAGCCCTTTAAGTGTGTCATACCTTCCTGGGCTCCTGCAGACTGGCCATCTGTTCCACTTTCCCTGCAGTACCTGCATTTCTAAATGAATGTTGCTTTGCACCAAAGTTATGAAGTGAGCTGAAAATTTTCCCTGGGCATCTTCTGTAATAAAAATTTTGTTTGAATGAGAAGACAGTTCAGTTAAATCTATAAAGAAGTAAAAAAATTAGACATCTTCCTCTGAACTGATATAAACCCTGTGACTGTTTGGTAACGGTCTTTTGTGTCATTTAGTGCCAACACAGTTGTCTTCTCAGAGGAGGTTCATAGTTGCTACAAATCTTTAATTCCAGAGAGGCCAGACAAAAGCTGATTATTTTTGTTATATCCCTACTGAGGATCTGATCTTTCCAAGTACTAATTTATACAAATTAAATGAGAGGAAATAAGTTTCATTTGCAGAGGGCAATACAGAAAATATCTGATCTGTTTCATGTTTTGAAGAAGTCATACACATTGACTAAAAAAACAGTTTCACAAGCAGACAGTACCAGTTTAGCCATGTTGTATCTTCACTGTCCCAGCTCTCAGCCTCCTCACTTGTGGGAACACAAGTTAAAAAACACAAGTTATTCTACTAAAAGGAACATCTGTCTTTTACATCACTGTTGTAAATCCATATTTTTCCACAGTGAGACAAAGAGGTGTGGCAGTGTAAGTGATGGGATTGACTGGAGAGTGTGAATGAGGGCTGGGATTAGCAGAAAGGATTTTCCTGAAGAGTTCATGAAGTTCAAAAACACAACACAAACACTTGAGTGGAAGGTTTGTCCTGATTTCAAGGGCCCTAAGGGAGCAGTTGGTGGCCAAGACCTCTGCACTCTGCTGGAGTGAGTGCAGGAATCTGGGAAATGCTGCCAAGGGAGAGCCTCAGCTTGAGCAGGGGCTGGTTCATCAAACACAGGTGCTGCTGGGGGTGAGGACTCGCCAAATTTAGTGCAAGTCACAAAGGACATGAGATTGACATGGGATTCACATGGCTGTGTGATGCCTTAGTGGCTTCTTGTATTGTTGGTTTTTTGGTTTTTTTTTTTTTTTTGGTGTTCTGTGGCTCTTTCCCCTGCACTGTTTACTGCTGTAAGCTAGCAAGTCATTGTCACCACCACTGTCACAAGGGAGCTTTAGCTGTGCTTTTAAAATCACTTCAAATACAGAAGTGCTGTGACACATTTTGCTCTTATTTCCCTTCTAGCAGCAAATGCTTGTTTTCTTCTGCTTGCGCTATGCTGGTTGGTTTATTTGTTTGTTTTGGGGGGTTTGTGTGTGTATGTGGGATTTTGTTTTTTGATTTTGTTTGTATTTTTTTTTCTGCAAAAGCATCTAATACAGAACTGGAAGCTTTTATGTTCTTTATATGTCCTAAAAAATGGAATTTTTTTTGAAGTGTGGTGGTGCTAAGACTAAAGTTATTGTTGCTACAAGTTTTAAGTCTGTCTTGCTTGAAAGAAAGTAGTTTAGATATCTAAGATAGCTTCAGCATCTGTGCTATTGAAAGACTTGGTTATATGTGTGCAACACATCCACCACAAGTAATAAATCTGACTCTGTCCTGATAGAAAATGTATTCAACCTTTTAGTGGGAAAATAACATTTGGTATAAAATACCTGTGACTATTCCAGCTGCAGCCTAGCTTTAGCTTCTCATGTAACCTTAAATACTTACATGTTTTTAAACTTAAAGGTGTCAGGGGATGTGGTTTTAAGCTGATGTTCACGGTTGTGGTTACATGTTTTAGCTGTTGATGAACAGATATGTTAGTGAGGATAACAGCTTCTGCACAGAAAGCTGATTTGCAGTGGAAGTGTCCAAGGTGCTTAAACCAATGGCTTAATTCCCTTTGTGTGTGGTTCCACCCCGTGAAGAAGTGGAGCAGTGCATTCAGTGCCACCCTGCTGAGTGTGTGCCTTTCCAGGTTTCTTTGGCCACTGCCTGTCTTAACCAAGCACTCTCCCTTTCCCCCGTCTGTGCCTGCCCAAATGTTCTTCTGCACAGCTCCAAGTTTACCCTGAGGTTTACTGCTGCTCCCCAGGGACTAAATGGATATCCTTGAAGTACCAAGCTTGCAAATTGCTTCTGTGCTGTAGTCTGAGCCCCCTCTGTGGGGTTGGAATTTCACAGCACAGGCCTGAGCTGAATAAATGGTCTGGAGTTTTGGTTTTCCCTTTTGTTGCTGTTGTTTGTTGTTGATGACTTTGGCCACTGCTTTACCTTTCTCTGTGCCTTTGGGGGGGTTTACTGTGATTCTTATTAAAATCACACTGCCTTCCTTCAGTGGTGCCTGCATTGAAGGGCTGGTCCCTGCTGGTCAATATAATTTTTACTGATGATGTTTTAAGTTTCCAGCACTAATGAAGCAGAACTGTGAAGTAGGTCGGGCCTGCTGAGCACACAGATAGTTGAAACTAATTAGTGTCAGCTAAAGACTTAATCATTGATGATGAATTTGTATATGCATTCATATGAAAGCAGAATATTTGATCCTCAGGAGACTAAAGAAAATGCCAGAATGGATTGACTGTGCTTTTAGTAGCACAGGGCTTTAGAAATCTCTGGAGATACAAGTTCCCATTACTTGGAGCTGAGGTTCTATACCCCATATTTTCAAATACCTACACAAGCTGTTAGTCTTTCTAAGCCTTGTGGAAATCCTGCTTGCAGCTAACTAAAGATTCTGAGAAGTGTTTAATAAACACAGGGCAGTGCAAGCAGCAGTCCAGGTGCTTTGCTGCCATTCAGTCATCTCCTGTAGCTCTTGTCTCACATGACATAAATTCATTCATGGCTGGTTCTTATGCCACTTTTCTAAATATATACACTAGCTGCATTTTCATATCCTTTTTAGAGATGGCATTATTATAATCTTGATCTCTTTTGCAGAACCACATTGTGGTCCTGGCTCCTTATATAAAGATCATTTGCTAACTCCATTGATATCTGTTAGAAAATGTGTGTTGAGATTGTTCAGCAGTAAACCAAGGATAAAAAAATATATGTTTGCTAAAAATGCTGTCTTTTTATTTCTTTGTCTTTCTTGCATCTTTACTTATCATGTAGTATCTGAGTATTTTAATTTTTTAATGTAAAGTATTCTTTTTTCCTTTTGTGTGTAAGTACAAATTTTGTTTCTGTCACTGCCCTGGAGTGCTAATGTTTTATTTTAAGTTTTTCTGAGTGTTGCAGTGTTTTTCAACAAAAGAGCATTGTCATGGATTAAAAATAGATCAGCCATGTTAGAAAAGAGACAAAGCAAGGGAAAGACATGATGGGCAATATACAGAGTTATTCCATGCATGA